AATCTTTATGTTTGTTTTGAATCAAACGCGTTGTAAATTGGTTCCAAATTGGGCATGCTAGACGCGTTTTTGTGATGTGTGCAATTTCCGGGGTTTTTTTTTTTGACACACTGTATACCATGCTACTCTAACTCACATTCTTCTATATGAACATCACTTTCCAATCAATGCCTTTGATGTGAACCAATTCCTCTCCATCTTGGTATATCAATCTTGCATTATTTTGCATTGCATCATAGACAACATGCATCACTGTCACATTCTCATAATTGGGTCCAAAGTACATTGCAAGTTTCCCACTTTCACTAAAATGAACTACCATCATAGAGCATTGATGAATCCTACCATAATTGTAGGCTTGTTCACAATGCTTATTGAAAATGTCTTTGTTTGCATTGACAAGAAGTTCATAACCATAAGCTGGGAAACCACTATTTATATTGTGAACAAGAATATCCAGTTGCTTACACCGAGTGCTATCTTCATCATACTCTTTAGCCTCAGGGAGAACATGATACATCAATGTAGGATAAGCCTTGGAAAGTAATTGTTTAAAAATGGCAGCAACTTCAACTTGGAATGCATACTCTGATGGCTGGCCATCAGCATTGAGTGTCTGTTTAGCAAAAATATGCTGGATACCAAGATTCTACACAAGAAAACAATTTGTCAAAATAATTATCATATGTACTGTCAATCACATACTTATTATTATCATTCTGTTACATACTTCAATAGTACGTGCAATAAGCCATTGAGGACAAACTTTATGTGGATCTGGTGCCAACCCAATTTCAATTTCAGGCCCACACAACTGTGAAATCATAATAGAACGCAGTAATGGTGCAGCACACTCAATGATCATATGCACTGGTGCAATTTGTGATACTTCTTGATTCTCTTGAACTCTTACAATCCCCTCAGCCAGAAGAAATTTTAATTCATCACACTATCAAGACAAAAAAAAATAAATATGGTAGCATATTTAACATATAAAATAACAGTGATGTTCTCACCTCTTTAACTACAACTGATCCATAGTGCAGAGTTAGTCCAACAATTTCTCTCTGTTTCTCTGAGAGTTGTCTTAAGGCTTGAATAATAGATGCATATGTATCTTGTTCACATACATATCTAAGAAGATTGGCAACAGCATACAACTCCCATTCATCAATAGATACAGAGTGTTTCCCTAGCGCAATTTTCTTTTCAATTGCTGCACAGCAGGTGCCGACTAGCCCTTTGTGTCCCAGAGTACGCTGGTAAATATCCTGAGCAAAGGCAGCTGAATCCAGTTCAATTGAGGCTTCATTCATATATTCATCCAGAAGCATCTGTATGTCAGCTTCAATAAAACGGCCTGGTATAATGGTTGCCTCCCGTGTAAATGGTGAGATTCTACCAATTGATTTGGGTAACTGTCGAGGAACCAGAAGATCTTTGATGGTCTCCACACCTGCAAATACAATAGAATGCAAACAATACACATCACGACCATCCCTAAGAAGACATAATATTCCAGTGAAATCATCAACAATTGCAACATCACAGTTAACTAAGAAAGAGCCTTCATCAATCAGTAGAACTACAGGCAATGAGCTGGCTGTTCTCCGGAAAAATGACTCAAACACGGCTGACGTTACTGACTGATTCTGATCAAAAGAGAATCGATTAGGATATACAGCTTGCATCTTGAGGGCAAAAGATTCCCAGAAACGGGAGACACCATTTGCAACATCAATGCCTGAATTGAAAGAAACAACATAGACTTCAAGACCAAGTTCAAAACCACGTATGTTAACTGATGATGATATCTTTTGTAGATGCCGTGCGGTAGCTCGAATAATAGTTGTTTTGCCACT